TAGGTTGTCGAAAAAGAACAAGTTTTTCAATCCCACTTGTAACTCCTAATATTAAGAACAAGAAGGAGACCCTTGCAGAAAAAATACAGACTTATGATAAGTATGCAAAAAACAGGAACATGGAATATGGAAGGATATTTAAAATTACTGAGTAAGTCATATATATTGATGGTTAAGTACACGTTATAAAATAGGTTTTAGTGTTTGTTATGAATTATGTTTTTCAAGCAGGTTTTCAAGGAAAAGCCCTGAAAGGCTTTGATTTACAGGTTTCTCATCAGAAAAACTGTTAGTGATTCATTTTTGGGGCTGTATAAATAGGTTATTCATGACATTCACTACATATTAATGGTTGCAGGCCAATAAAGCCAATTTTTGTGAGAATAAAAACAGTATATCACAGTGATCGTATATTTTATCAGTTATTTTTATTAAATCATTTTAAAACAGCCAAGTGTGTTAAAACTCCATTACAGAGGAACATATGAGAGGAATGAAGAAGTGCAAACAGGATCCTCATTGAGCCATTTATTTTTTGGTACACCAGAAATCCTGCAGCAATGTCCAGGAGGTTCAGCAGTGACTGCACGTTCCACTGACATCACTGTGAGTCCACCACTGCACAGTGATATGACCCAGGCTCTCAACTGCTGGATGTTAGAGCTCAACCAAGGCTTGAAACAAACACCTTTACCAGCTAGTCACCTGTTAGCCACTCCAGTGATGACATTTTTATTAAAAGTTTGCAAAGTTAACCATTATAATTAAGTCTATAACAATTATACTACCTTAAAAAATCGTAAGTAACTAACTCTACTTAACACAGGATTCCCACCACAGTGAATTACAAAACACCCAGCACACCAGGTTCAATGATAAAATATTTGTGTGTTAACCTAATGCTATGAACCAATCCTCTTGTAGAAAAGCTGGAATGTGTTGACAGTGTAAATACAGACCTTACTTAAAATAAGAACTGGTGCTATGGCCCTTTTCTGAATTATGCCCTGCTGCACACTTGTTAATGAGCACTTAAAAATAAAGTGCCACCCCAGAGAGTAAGAATCACAGCCTGGGGCACACATGCTGGGAATGCTCTGCCTGCCTGGCCAAAGAAAAGCAACAAGAGGCTCACTGTCTCTGCTCAGGCTGCAGGCCATAAAAACCCTGCAGCGTGGAGTAAGCTGGAGTCCAGCGTGCAACTGTAGGGATCATAACACTGCTGTCCCTGGAGCATGAACATAACTGCTGAGTGACCTGGACAACTGATGAACTATGAGACCTTGTGTGTTTTTCCTCCTTTAAGCGGGCATGAGCAGCTAGGTCTTGCCATGCCTATGCTCGGAGAAACACCATCCTGTTTGGATCAGTGATTCCTGCAGGAGGCAGTCAACATAACCTTTTGCTGTCAATGTGCCAGCTGCATTTTAAAGAGACATCACAGGAACTCAACTATGAAAATTCAGCTGTCCAACACCATGTCTATTGACAGCACACTGGCCAAACACACAACGACATAACCACAGATGGTCTCCTGTGGCTTGCTGAGAGATCTTTGGAAGAGTTTGGTTCGTTGTTGATCACTCCCTCAGGAACAATGTGGAAATAAGTATTTGAGGAGTGCCAAGCAGAAAACCGAGATCAGGAATAAGCTGAGAAACAGATGAACATCTGCTCCACATGAAGAACAGAGCACATCAACAACAGAACTGAAAATGACTGCATTTTTCCTACATTACACAGTCCTATAATGAAATTGGATTGATTTGAAACTGGCCAGGATTTTATTGTTGAGAAAGCCATAAAATACGGTATTCACTACAATTCATGTAGCTTGGTTTTGTCAGTCTTGTCTTCTCACAACAGTTAAATAAGTAAAAGAGCAAATATGTAACAATCAGACTATGGGCACTAAAATCTCAGGACTGTTTTCAGAAAGAGAACACTGTGTTCTGCATGAAAAAAATTACCTTACAGTGCAACCATGCTTTTACCAATCATAAAGCACATAAATCCGTTACTGCACATACATTACCATATTTATGTTTATGCCACTGTCTGCAGAGGTTGCACTGTGTCATGTATACAATATAACAAGTAGGTTTAATTCCATGCTGAAAAGAGAAGAAAGACAACACAATGTTTCGGCCATGGAGCCTTCTTCAGGTGTGTTCTTTCTTCTCTTTTCAGCATGGAATAAACCTATAACTTGTTCCTTTTCAGCCTACACATGTTGGCACAGCTACCCACCTGAACTACATGTATACAATATACCACTTACCTTTAATTTCCTCTCCATAAAGGACATAGAAGAGCTCCTCTTTAATCTTGGTCAATCAAGATCTTAGTAAGAGTAGGAATGTTAATCTCTGTGTCCTGGCTAAACTCCACATTGGACTTCATGTCCTACAGTATAAGTTACCCTTGAATTCAAGTGACAAAGCAATTCCAAACCTCACATCTCTACCTGATCTAATGTGTAGTGGGCCAGCTGACACACAATGGCTGCCAAACATCTTCCAGGTGGGTGTTGTAGTTCAGTACTGGATGAAATGTGTCCTATCCTTAGGGATGAAAAGCACTTTATAAATGCAATTATTATGTCACTGAGGCTAACGGCTAACATATTTGTTTTTTAGGTGATGTGTTCAATAATTGTCTCACACCACAAACTGATATTACATCTCAAAATCAATCATTTTGTAGAAGGTTGTTAACCCCATAAAAAATCAGTTGTAAAGTTGTGCACAGTTCATTCTGTTGTATGTTAGGAACTCATCACACAAAGAAAGAAACTGTCTTTTTGCATTTGTGAAGTTTGTTACTTGCCAGGCATAATCAAAGCCAATTCTTACAGCACAAGCAAAGTGAATGTTTGCCCCTAGCATCATGCTAAACTGTAGAAGAACATCCAATGGCCACTGATTATGTATCAAATCTGAGAGACTTACTTTAAGCATACATTCACTGATTTGCTTTTTGTTTTCCTATTCGAGCAAACCCCTTGCTTGGTAGCCAGTATCTAGCACAGACCATGCAAAATGAAGAGGAAAAGAAATATTTAAACAAAGAGAGGTTGAAGTTTATATCATGGTAGGAAGCAAATGAAAAACTGTATTTCCATCTGAGAAATGATTGATGCTGGATCTTCAACTGACATGCCCCATGAAGATTTGCCCTTTGTTATTAGTATGAGATATGCTTTCTTTCAGCTTTACCAGGGTACCACATTAGATCTAAGAACAAGATAAAAAGCATTTCAGAAGGAATAACATCAGGCATAAGCAGCTTTGACTTAACCTGCTTAACTGGAGCTCAACCACCTGGCTGTAGGATGAAGATGTTAGGACCCCATGCAGAGTGAAGAATCAAGCACAAGTTGCCAAGGTGGAGATGGGGCGGAGAAGGGATGCAGAAAGACAAATGCAGGTGAAAGAGAGGGGGGGTTTCTATGATATTGATAGCTTTCTGGGAAATTATGTTATAAAGGTTTAAGTGTTAAGAGTAGCCGAGGTGAAGGAAGTCTGGGTTCTGGTCAAACCCTCCCAAACGTTCTTTAAAAATATAAAACAAAAAGCATATATTACGGCTCTCATGATCAAAATTATTGAAAATTATTTCTCTAGCACAAAGAATTATTTTTAACTTCTCTCATTAGTTCAGTTAGTAGTGACCATGCAGCCATCCAGCCATCAAATTCTATTACAACAGAAGCCAGGCAAGGCAAGGTTTATGGACAATGGAGATTTTGTATATCTTCTAGTACATTTCTGAATGCCAAGAGCTATCCTTTAAAATAATTTTAAAATAAAAAAAAGATTTCTGTGGACGAGTGTACAGTCCCTCCATTGGGAACTGAAAAACGGTAATCTAATTTAATCTATTTATCCTTACAAATGGGTGAAGAAACCTTTCACACGCAGTCAATAACATAATATTCCAGACAATACTCTTTTTGTACAAAAGTTCAAATATTTTATTAGGACACAAATTCTAATTACTTCAGATTAGCAGATGTTTGAAATAGACGTGTCTTCTGATGAGCTCTTTGGGACATGGAACACAGCTTTTACAGGGGCAGGACTTGGTGATCTCCTTTCCCAGTTTCTGCTGAACTCTACCCTGTCATAAAAAGTAGGAAGGCTGTGCTACAATGCGGCTGCCTTCCAATCCTGACTCAAAGGAAAGAACAGTAAAACTCTCAATTGACTAGGTGGAGCAGACGGGCTTGATGCTCACTGACTAGTTTTTGCAGCGTTCTAAAGAACTCTGACAGGTGGAGTTCAGATTTGGAGGAGGAGTGACCAGCACGTGCATCTTAAAACACATCTTATTGCAACACTTTGTTACCCTCAATTTTTTAATCATTTAGTTAAATGTGCAAATAAAGACTGACTGGAATGGCAGTAGTATGGCAGAGAATGGTTTGCGCAATCATCTGAAGATGTATTACTAGACACTGTGTGCATCATGACCTGCATGTGGGACATTAAGTGATGGAGCCTTTTTGGTTATTATTCACCTACTCACATCTTGAATTTTGACACCCTATCTACTCCAGCCACTACCAGAACTTTACTTTCACTCAACCTAAGTGTTGCTCACCTAGTCATGGGTCCAAGTGTGCACCTCAACTTGCGGTATAGCGGTGGTATTGATTATGGTCTCATATTAGCTCTACTGATTGGTAAAATCCCAATCGTGCACTGCAGAAGTCAGTGTCACAGCTCCCACGAAATGCCCAGCCCCATGAGGGCTCCCAGTTGACTCACAGGAGAAGAAATGCTGTTTGTTGAGTGATTTTCACAGTTAAGGTTCCCCTGAAACTTATGTTTCTTAGAGCGCTAAGCTCTCCATGTGAATGAAAGCCTTTTTCTCAATTTGGAGAGATTAGAAAACCACCTCCTTCAAAAATGCAGAAGTGGAAGACCCATACTGGTAAAAAGCCGCCTTACGACCAGGGTTGCCCAGTTTTTCCCCACCACAAGGGTCAGACTAACCTCTCGCCTTTTGTTTTTCCACCGGCTGTCAGCACCACCGTTAACTTCTCCTGGTTGAGATGAACATGTCTAAAAGCAGGAGAGCATGAGGTACTGAGAGGAGGCTTGAGGGAGAACAACAAACGAAAAGGCAGAAGCAGGGAACACGTACAAACAACGGTAGGAGATGCGGGGGGCAGCACACAAAATAAAACAGAACAACGTAAAATGGATGAACTGTAGTGTAGGAATGCATTAGTGGCTCAGAGTGGAACCAAATGATAACTTGCAGATCCCTTATTGATCAGGCTGACTCCCCTTTAATTTCCTATAGACCTGACAACTTAAGCCTTTGAAGTAAAAAAAACAAACAGCTCTGATCCTCAAGATCCACTGGGACTTCCATCAAAGAAAGGATTTCAAAGCCCGATTTGTGCGCAGGGATCAACAGAAAGCATCAAGACTCAGATCAGGAAGTGAAGCCACGTTTTCTGTCATGGATATCAGGAACAGGAAGCTAACGCCTCATGAACATCCAGTGCTTTGCAAAAGTTTATGAAAGCAATCACAGCAGCATTTCCACTGTGCGGCTTCTTCCAATGGAAACTCCCTTATTTCCACAACTTACCCCCATTTTTCCTTGAAAAAGTGAACATGGTTCCCTAAATTCTCACATTTTATTTTAACAGAGATTAATAAAGATTGTATTAATCCAAAAGGGAATGAACACTGTTTCTCAGGGAGTAAAAAATACACAGGCAACAAACGCCTTTATTAAGTGTGAAATGTTTTAGATTAAAACAACAATAAACATATGCTTATACAGTAGGTGGTATAAAAAGGACTGGCATAGCCAAGCTCTTGTACAACCTGTACAGTGATCAAACCCATGACCTAAGCATTATTAACACTGCTCTGTAACCAACTCTGCTCACTGGCCATATGACTTTATGGAGGCGATATGACGCGTCATTTACAACATTTTATTAAGAATTTATAAAGTTGTCTCTATTCAACAAAAGTAAAATAGCAAAAAACTAAAAATAATTTTGTACCAATAAACCATCTCGAACAGTAGAAAAGCTTCATATTACAAGAGGATACCGTCATGAATTTCTTTAAACAAACTTTCACGGTTATACCAGTTTTATTTACAGTATAAAATCCACTATGGCTCCTCATGGTCCTGTATGGTAGGTGTAAGAACAAAACAATCCTTCATTTCTGAGGGAAACTATTTGAGTTGAGGCTCCTGAATAATAGTGCAAGTGTTACACACCAAATGCTACAGTACATCCTGTGTGCCGTCCAGTCTTCTGCAACTGGTAGTGAGATACAAGATGAAATTTACGAACAGGGAGACACAGAAATGTGGTATCACAGGAAGTATGACTTCACTTAGTTCAATAAGACAACCAACCATTAATGGAAATTAGTACCTTTGTAGCTAATCATAGTATTTTAATACTAAAAGACATGCCTACACAAGTTCTTTTAAAGTTAGCCTCCAGATTATGTAAAACCTGTTTGTCATACAGAAAAATACCACACCCCTCAACATGAAAAACACAAAATACCAACCATGTAGTTGTGAACCATAACTGTATTTCAATTTTAAGAACAGCTCAGTATGGTACAGATAGACTAAAATGTCATACCCGAACTTCTACTAGACTTTGGCCCAACAGTTAAAAATTAATTTTAAGTTATTTGCCCTGTGTTGTCCACCTTTTATTTCTGCGAGGGCAGGTTATGCACATTTACAGTGAAATGATTTTTAGATGGGCAATAGTCTGAGACAGTATGTATATCACTGACACAAATCAACCTCTTCACAACATATGCAGTACTTGTGGTGATTCTATTTTTTCTCTACCTGTGCTGTTGCTCAGATGAGCTACAGTGCATGTCGGTCATGTGCCTTACAGAGTAATATCCCCACCTAAATTATATTCCTGTGCAGATGCCCCAAAACCACCAAGTGGACAAATGGCAACAAATCTGTCTCCACTGCTGTTTAAAGGAAGCCAGTTTGTCTGCATGAAACTTAAAAGTTAAAGCTGAGCTTCCACACAATAGAAGGCTACACTGGGGACTGTAATGTATTTCTTCCTGGTCTTTGCAGAGATGCAGTTACAAACTTCAAGTCTAACCTGAGCCACAGTGAAAGTATCTGACATTACATACTGTAAATGGCAGCCCTTACATGTGGTTCTTCATTGTGAACAAACTGATTATTGACCCCATGTCTGCTCTTTTAAAGAGTTTGTCTCTACTCCAAAGCTCATACTTCACTCTTCAGCCAGGGCTTCTCTTTAAAGAAAGGTACTTGAGTCTGTCTGTTCAAGTAGAATCTCAGGATCAAAAGTTGCTTTTTCTATGGCTAAATCTTATTTGCATTGCTTCAATACGCTGTGTACAACGGACCCAGAATGTACTGAAGGAGAACGGCCTGGAGGGTTTTGTTTTAAGCTATTCAAATAATTAAATGTGCTTGTGTTTATAGTATATAATTTGATTTAATGTATTGAGGACAGACTAAACAAAGGTAACCTTAAAATTTTCTCAAACACTAGCAGTTCCACACTGTGTAATCAAAGGGAACTACAGCACCAATAATCCCCTGTTTTGCACACTGGAACAGTGACACACCAAAAATACAGTCATGTGAAAAAGAAAGTACACCCTCTTTCAATTCTATGGTTTCATATATCAAGACATAGCAAAAAATCATCTGGTCCTTACCAGGTCCTAGAATTAGGTAAATCTAACCTCAGGTGAAAAACAACACATAACAGATTACTATTTCATTATTTATTTAACAATAAATAAGCCAACAAACTGGCAGAAGCCAAGTGTGAAAAAATAAGTACACTCCATGATTCAGTAGCTTGTAGAACCACCTTTAGCAGCAATACCTTGAAGTAATCGTTTTCTGTATGAGTTTATCAGTCTCTCACATCATTTTGGAGGAGTTCTGGCCCACTCTTCTTTACAACATTGCTTCAGTTCATTGATTTTTGAGGGTAATCGTTTATGCACAGCTATCTTAAGGTCCCACCACAGCAATTCAATGGGGTTGAGGTCTGGACTTTGACTTCACCTTGATTCTTTTTCTTTTTCAGCCATTCATTTGTAGATTATCTGGTGTGCTTGGGATCATTGTTCTATTGCATGACCCAATTTTGGCCAAGCTTTAGCTGTTGGACATTTGTGTCTAGAATACTTTGTTACAAAGAAGTGTCCATGCTCAACTCGATGACTGCAAGGTGCCCATGTCCTGTGGCTGCAAAACTAGCCCAAATCATCACCCCGCGTTTGTGGTGATACGCTGTGCTTGGTTTTCGCCAAACATGGCGTTGTGCATAATGACCAAACATCTCCACTTTGGTCTTGTCTGTCCAAAGGACATTGTTCCAGAAATCTTGTGGTTTGTTCAGATGCAACTTTGCAAACCTAAGCCGTGCTGCCTTGTTCTTTTTGGAGAGAAGAGGCTTTCTAATGACTACCCTTCCATGAAAGCCATACTTGTTCTGTCTTTTTCTGATCATACTGTCATGAACTTTAACATGTTAACCGAGGCCTGTAGATCCCTAGATGTAGCTCTTGGGTTCTTTGCGATTTCTCTGAGAATTATACAGTATGGTCTGACCTTGGGGTGAATTTGCTGGGACGCCAACTCCTGGTAAGATAGGCAACTTGAATGTTCTCCATTTGTAATTAATCCTTCTCACTGTAGAATGATGGATTACAAATTGTTTGGAAATGGCCTTATAACCCATTATCTCATATTGATGAGCAGCAACAATTGCTTTTCTGAGTTCCTTGCAGATGTACAGTATTTTATCCTTGGCATTGTGTTAACAAACACCTGAATGATCCAGACCACCAAACTGCCAAAAGTTCTGCTTTTACTTCCTCATGATCAACTAATCGAGTGCATTTGATAAGCAGCACCTGGCTGCTAATTACCTTCTTAATTCCTATGGAAGCAGTAAGGGTGTACTTAATTTTTCCCACATGGTTTCTCCATTTTGGCTTAATTTGCTGAATAAATAATGGCAGTGAAATCTGTTATGTGTTGTCTGAGGGAGGCTAGATTTGCCCCGTTATTTATGCCCCGATATGTAAAACCATTGAATTGAAAGAGGGTATTCTTTCTTTTTCACATGACTGTAAATTTCTTCCAATCTATAAATGCTAATATGAGCTGATAAAAAAAAACTTCATGATTGCATCAGGATAAAATAAATGGTACCATTAAATAACTAAATTGGGAATTTGAGCAGTAACGCCCTGATGGCAGTGACGATTCACTTTCAGATTACTGTCTGATCGATCCGAGACAGCAACAACAGTGCTAAGAAAGTCCTTATTAATAATACAACAGGTACTTTGTTGTTTTACAGTTGTTTCAGATCCAGGTTTGGTTGGTTTTGAAGTCAGTGATCACAAGATACAGTGACCAGTTCATCCAAGCTAGTCTTACACTACTTACAATGACTTGTGGTCTTAAGTCTGATTGATCCAAAGTTACACTGTAGCTATTCACTCAGTAGCGAGAGACTGTTACTTCAAATGTCAATGTCAAGTCATATGTGTGGATAAATGCAAAACATAGCTGTGCATGTTGTAATTTTGCAATATGACGTGTGTTTCATCATACAGCCCTTGATGTCTGCCACTTCACTTGAGTCACACGACACAATGGTGGCAGCACTATAGTTGTGGAACCTGAACCCACCCTTTTCCAGCACGGTCTCCATACTGTGGGTTATTTCTTATTTCTATTATCAGGCATTGATTAAAGGAAAATATCCTGAACATTATATGCAATCACGAGAGTCTATGTAGAAAACCAAGTCAAACAAAGGTTAAGCAGGAATTAAGCCCTCTAGAATATAAAGTATCATTTTTGAAACACTGAAGGAAAAAAAGAAAGAAACATGTTTCCTGAATCGAGGCAGTAAGAAGCACATTCCTGTAAATCAAGCCTAATTTCAAACCAGCTGACATGTCGGCTAAATTCAAAACATATGTGTGCTTCCAAAAACAGCCATTCCTCTCTGGGGCTAAACTTCAGTTATGCT